AAACAAAAATTAAAGCAAGCAGGAAGGATCCTTGTATCTAAAAACTAAGAGCAAACAAGGCACCACAAGCTCTCATATAAAGCACGTTATATCTGTAAGAGCAAATGGAGAAGTTATTTACCCATTGTACAGGTTTAATCTTGTAAGTAATTGGCATTAAGAAGGAAGAACAGGAAGGGAAATGGGCAAAAAGTATATTTACACAGAGAGAGTCACTTCTACTACCTTTACCATTCCAATATTTCAAGCACACTTTACCATTCACCTTAATACTAAGATTTTAGACTGATAATAGTGGGTCATTTCAGTTCTAAGTTCCTAATCTTCATCAACACCTGTAACTCCAAAGCTAATAAAAACCCAAGGGCGGTTCTTGATTTTATTTGATACACAATTACCACCCTTCTCCGTTCCTCATCAGCCATGTGAAGTCATCAATCTCTATACCTCTATTTCCTTCCTTCCCATGGATTTTACCATGACCAAACAAATTTTTAGTTAACAATTCTCAGACTATAGCAGCTTTGCAGACCCCATTTGAAACATTCTTCTCAAGCTATTTTCCCTAGTTAACCTCTACAGGCATCCTCCCCCCAATAAAAATAATTAAATAAAACCGAAAGAAAGATCCACACAAGCAGTCCCTCATACGTGCAGGTAGAATTATATGGGCTGGAGCCACTGAACTACTAGACAATACTAAGACTAGCCCATTAAATGCCCAAAGCAAACAGAGAACCAACTTCATTCCTGGATTTCAAACTCTCATAGTGATTAGGTTTATGCTCCAACGCAAAAGATATCAAAATGAGTAAGAAAAGTCTAAGAATTTTTAAGTTCTTCTGACCTTTTGGAGGAAGAAAATGAGAAAGGAAAAGCTAAGAGAAAAAGTTGGCAACTAGAATATAAAATATTAATGCTATCCAGATTCTATTCCAGAATGTTAGACTGAGTATTCATTGGAGTTCCTTGCCCTGGATGGTAAATTTGATGAACTTCAAGTTAGGCAACAAGTTAGATAACTTCATGTTAAGCAACTTCTTTACAAGTTCCAAGTTAGGTAACTTGGACTAAAATTTGGTTATTGCAGTACCAAGTGACATCATATTTGACATTTCATCACATAGGATCACTTACTAAATAAGTCAATACATGAGAAATGAAAGACTCCTTAAAAAAATAAACGAAAAAAGTCATCACCTCCTAAAAACTATCATTTTTTTTTTATTTTAATGAAATCAATTCATGTATCATAACATTCAGATTAACTCTTTTAATCCTGAGACAAAAGATAAGCATAATGAGATCTACCCAGCAGACCACTTGCAAATTATCCAATACCATCTAAGGAAATTTTAGGACTATTGACAATTCAATCTATTGGAGACATCTTGATCAATAAGCATACTCATGCTACAGTTCTGGAAGTTTCATCTATTTAGGAGTACTCATCTTTCTTGATTCAATAAATTAACAAGTCCTGTGTAGAGAATGATGTGAGAAGCAGTCCACTGATTGTTGCATGACTTGGTACTGTCAAACAAAAGTACTTAAGAGCAAGAAATCGCCTAACGTCAAGCTAGTCAATTTTGCTATCTAGTGCGAAGGATCTCCTATAAATACTCCTCACATGTGATCCTTAGGCATAAAGTTTGAAAAGCGTTAATGCTACACATTTGTTAGTTGTTTCCCTATTTCTTAGTTTTTCCTCTTTCATCTTTCTTCTCCAAATTCATGTCTAACGATCAGACAAAGGAAGTCTTTTAATACATGTTACTGCCAAAACAACTTCAGCAGAGGGTCATGATATGACAAATTCCTGTGCCAATTTAGCATCAAACTCGATAAATACTTGCAAAAATCAGCCTATTAAAGGAGCCAATTATTAATATTGTAATAAGTTCTTTTATCCAAATATCTTCTAAATGAGATGAACAAAACACACATGGTCTCAGAATCATATCACCCACAAAATGGGTTAATGTTTCGCTTACCAGATAGGTTAATTTCACAAAAAGAATCAGTTAACAAGTAGAACCAGATGACAGATGCCTAATATTACCAATATCATCTAATACTTACAGAAGGCTGTTCTGTCAACACTTAATTTAGTTCAGATGATCGATTTCATGAAGAAGTCCCATGCCAAGTTGGTACTTTTTCCCTAATCTTGCTTCCCTAAGTCTAGGACTATCTACAGTGGAATTTCATGGAACAGTTGCTAGGCAAACATGCATTTCCCCTAGGATTCATTCTGCTATATGCAATGTGCAAATTGTACAGTATATTTATGTCAATTTGAACGGAAACAGGAAAAAAGAACACACAGTTTTGAGAACAAGTTATACTCAATAAAAAACCAGTCCAGGCAATCCCCTCTTAGTCTTATCCTTACACTCTGTCTTAATGTCCTTCACAGCTCTCTCAAAAGCACACAAGGGAATAAAATTAGCACCACTGGGAATTTTATTACAGGCTCCCAATAACCACTTCAAGTTTCGCTGATGACACTATTAGCCTTCAAGGTAGTTGTAAGCCTTTGCTTAAAAATTAAATCAACCTAAAAATATGTATGTGGTGTCACAAAATTAGAAAGAATAGATGGCATTCCACATGATCATATCATAGAACACTACACTAATGATGCAAAGTTTGACATACACTCAACAAGCAGAGCTACTTTCCTCATTCCAAAGTTTCACCTTATTACTAGTCTGTAATTATTAAATTGCCTTAACTCAAATATGATTCTCCCCGAGCATAATTTCCATAAACCAGTATTAGAAACTGCCAAACTCAAGCATTTACAACTCAACGCTTGCAAAATATAATAATAAAAACAATAATAATTAGCAAGAAAATTCACAAACCTGGATTTCCTTGAAACTTCTCAAACCACTTAGAGAACCCCAAATCATCAGAACTAGTTTCCAAATCTATCAAGAAACGAAATCAGCATTCAGACAAACACTTTATTTTTGGCATAAATACGGCAAATAATCATCGTAGAATATGTTCAAACCCGAAGAGATAAGAGGGTTAGCAGGAGATCCAGCTAAGCCAGCCTTCAAGAGGACATAAAAGATGCAAACTCTACCAGCCCACAGAACAGGGGTCTCAAGCAAAGTAGCATATGCTGTTCTTGTTTGAATGGAATTAGCTCCACAGCCATTCCCACTTGAAAAAAATGAGCTCCTTTTGGTTTTATCACTCAAATGGTAGTAAAATTTAGAATCAAGACATGGGAGAAACAGGGTCTTGGGCAGTAAAGACGGAGTCTTTTGGCTCTGATTCTTGAAACAAGAAGAACAATAGCAAAAGTTAGGAGAGTTGTTCAGATTTAAAGGGCTACTAGTTGTGATTGTTTGGAGAAGCATTGCCTTGAAATTCTCAAAAAAAGCTATAAGGGCATCCAAATCTATCAAAAGTTACTAGAGAACAGTGTAGTAGCAAAGAATCCTATATAGGCACTTCAGACTTGGAAGATACTGTGACGATGATCGCGTATCAAACGGTGTCTGTTGGTTACTGCTTCTCTGGATATGGCTGATTGAAATGCTGAATAGGAGTGTTAAAATAGACTACAATAAAGAGACAAACACTAATAAAGTGACATTGATATATTCAACAAAATAATGGGTGCCAGAGGCAAGATATGACATTTTTTTTAATCATTAGGAGTACAAGAAATAAAAAAGTAGAACCAATAGTTGAGATTTCGAACCCCATTTGGAGTGAAAAAAATTCAAAGCAAATGTCAGAGCATGTTATTGGTCTAATCAGATCTTATAAAATCAGATTCCATTTATTAAGAAATAGATTCGAGTTTGATTTTCACTCGAATTTGAATTCAAATAGGAATTATGATTGATTTATAGTATCGAATGGAGTTCAAACTCGTAAAAATTCAACTCATTAAGACTTAATTCGATTCGAATAAATTTTAATATTTTTATTTAAAATATTTGTTAATAATTTTATATAAAATCATATACTTATTATTTTATTATATAGATATTATATATGCATTAGTGATGATTTAATATTAAAAGTGAAGAATTAAATAAATTTTCTAGCTTCAACCTATCGAATATTAAATCAAATCGAGCACGAGTTTAAAGTTTAAGCTTGTATAGGATTCAAGTTGAAATTCAAGTTTAAAACCAAAATTTCGAATCAAGCTCAAATTGTGAAAGTTTAATTCGATTCAATTCATTTACAACTCTATTAAAAAGTAGTGTTAGGATGAATTACATTTTAAATTATTAGTAGGAAAAAGCAAAAAAAAAAAAAAAAGAAAAAGAAGTAAATGGAACGACCTCTTACAAAATAGTACATTGGTACTATTTATTGGTTTGGTCAAGGAGTAACTTAAAAACTTTTCAATCAAGTCTGTCATCATGCGAAAATAGGTAATTGTTGCCCCCCACGCACACCTCCATGTTTGTGTGTGTTAATTATGTGTAGATCAACCTTTCATAGTGCTTCCACGAGGTCAAAGGTTTTTGAGTACAAACCATATGCCATTGCTGATTGGTGTAGCTTAAGCATAATTTTTCTTGTTTAAAAGTGTGCACTAATTTATTTATCCTCCCGTTTACTTGCAAGGGAAAAACGGAAGGCTACTTGACCATTTCTCACCATCCTCCTTGCTCCCATCCCTATCTTGGTCCCCCAACCTTGCCAAGACCTGTTGATATTTTCGAAACTGTAGAGCGACAGGTTATCTTTATACCATTGTTTCAGTCAATACCTAAACCTTATCCACTTCCTAAAAATATCAACGAGTCAGAGTTGATTAAATAACAGCTGACAAAGGCTTCTTGAGCCAAAAGGAAAAGGACTTACCACAGAGAGAAACAAAGCAAAGCATCCCCAACAGCAGATAATTCCACCTAAAAGCACTCTTCAAAGGAACGCTGCATCTAGAGCATTTAAAAGCAGAAAAGAAAAAACCGAGAGAGAGAGAGAGAGAGAGAGAGAGAGAGAGAGAGAGAGAGGGAGAGAATTTAGACCGAGAGTTTCTGTAATCTAAATAGCTTCTCCTGGGGATGCAGTCCTCCACAAAATTACATATTATCTCAAGGTTTCCACTTGAAAACTGAGTTCTATTTTAGACATCTTAACTACGTGCCTTCAAATCTTTACAAATTTAACATCGCTTTGCCCAAATGCCATTCCACAAGCTGGACACTTTCGATGGCGGATCTCTAGATTTCTTTGGATGCATGGATTGCAAAATAGATGATAACACTTGGCAATAAGAACCTGCCATGAAACGGAAACCAGGTTATGGGCACTACTTAGCTGAAGAATTCACCAAATCTATAGTGCCTCAGGGACAATGTCTCGTAGAAACAAATTCATGGGAGTAACTACATAGCTCCCAAAAATACCAGAGAAGCACAATTATTGCAGAGAGGACAAATTTCAACAGAATTATGAGGAACAGCTTTGATCCAAAGATGTCATGTGCACAAACCTCCTTAGGACGATCAAAACACACCCCGCACTTGAGAATAGCTTTGCACTCCTTAATTTCATCCTGAAGTCTCAGAATTTCAGCCTCCTCGTTCTCAGAAGTCATCTCATCGATAGATTTGTTCCATGTGGCAATCTCTTCCTGAATCTTCTTCCTTGCTTCTCTGCTCTTATAAAGTGTTAGTCAGACTAAACATACACAACACCTAACGAAATTGTACATAGATGCATGAAAGACTTGTCACATCATAAACAGAACCAATTGCAAATGCAGTAAGATTCTACAAGCATGAGTGAAATATTGTAGTAAACTGTTATCTAAATCCAAGAAAAATTGAGCATGCTGCATGATAGTCTCCTCCTTGTAAACTGTTATTCAAGGCCAACAACATTGTTAAAAGCATGACCATGAATATAATCAACCAATGGCATATAATCTCAATCCGTGACAAAACCCAGCTAGTTGAATATAGCACGATAAAGCAGCAGTCTCCCACGTTATGCAGTTCCCATAAGCATTACACAGTTCCAAGGACACTGCAATAAGTCAAGACAAGTTTGGGCAAGCATGTAACATCATTAATAAGCTAAGGAAACCTCCTCAACAGATTGTCCACTAAGCTAGGAACCATCAATTTTGCATATGCAATTGGCAACCAAAACTCAAGAATTTCATGGTAGTTTCTATCAATAATGTAGTTAAGGTGAAAAATTATGTCATTTCTGCTTGATAAGTGATACATTAATTCTATTTTGTTGCAAGAATGCTATGCAATTATATCAAGTCACTCTGTCCCAGTATTGCAACTTCATGCCTGTATTTGTTTTTAGTAAAGAGTTTTTAAGGTACATCAAATTGTCCCTGAGTGTTAAGGAGAAAGAGTTTTGAGGGAGAAGATCTAGTATTAAATGCACCCAAAAAAAAAGCCTTCACTTGAAAAATCACCTCTCACTCTCCAATTCCAATAGAAGTTCAGCCTTCTTTCGTTCAATCTGCTCATTTTCCTTTTCAGATGATGCAACAGCAGATTTCAGCCATTTAACTTCCTTCTCAGCATCCACTAGTTCCCTTTTTGAAGTTTCTAGGTCTGCTGCAAGCTGTCTATCTTCTTCTATGTACCTTGAAGCTTCCATCAGATGAACTTTGACCTGCAAATTTCCATCTCTGTAAAAGGAGAATTATCGATCAAATTGAACTACCCAAAAGAAATCCCACCTGCTCTTCACATTGAGTAATTCTCAATTTCAGAGAGTCCAGCATTGCGTTAGCTCGATGAAGTTGCTTGCTTAATGCTTGCTTCTCAGACAATAACAAATTGTGTGCCTGCTTTGAGTTCACACTCTCAGATACCAGCTGCAAAACAAAAACCAAGAATCAGTCCTGCTACTTCACCTAGATGGCACAAGGAGATTAAAAACAGAAACCCGGAGAAGGTACTTAAAGACAGACCTTAATATTGTAATCATCCCTTTCAGTCACCTGCTGTAAGAGACGCTGGTTCTGCATCTGCATATCTTCATATGCTTGACCAATAGTCTGAACATAAAAGTAAATCAGAAATATATGGTCAAACAAGATCTTACAAGAAATGTCATGGCAATAAAGAAGATTACCTGAAATATCTCAGGGTCCAAGTGTAAGTAAATACCTCAATTTCAGAAATATATGCTTCTGCCTCAGCTTCTTTTAGTTTGATAGCCTCTTGAAGCTTTAAAACATCCCTGTGGCAAAGTAAAACTGCATTAGTCTGTTCATGCAACTGGGCTTTTCTGATACAGCTGTAGCTATACGCCAAATTCCCACGGAAACATCATCACCACACACAAGATTGGTAGCCATTGACGATAACCAAGTTCAGGAAAGCTATGGGAATCTGGAAAATATGTAAAACATACATGTTTGACATTCATATATGCTCCATAACTCTAAACCTGTTCCATAAACATGCCATAAAACCCTAACTTTGTAAAATTTCTTGCTTCAGCATGTAAAGCTCCAATTTTTCATCACTAACTTCCAATACCAGTTCCAGCCCTGGTAACAGTAAGATAGAGGTAACTTTCAAATCATTAAATCAGTTCCCATCTTCTTTGACACATAATAAGCTGCTTGTAGAAGTGGCAGACATGATGCCCACTTCAATGCTCTAGACAAAGTTTTTGATACATATACCTAAGGTACAAGATTGCTTAGGAAAAGCGTTGCATGAACAGCAAGGATTCAATATTTACTAGATTCTGATTCTTAAAGACAGATTGAGAATACAGCAGCGAAGATAAACCAACAAAAAGCAGCACCAAGAAGATCAAGAATTAAGGGTGCCCAAGAATTCAACATGACAAGAAGAATGACCTGTCACAGGCATCTACTTCATCCCTCAAAGAAGCTTTCTCGGCTTCAGCAGCAGCAAGCCTTTCCTCACAAGCTGCCTCAGCTTCCTTAGCAGCCTTCACTCTCAATTCAAGGCCGTGTTCGTCTAAAGTATTTCTCAAAATTTTAACTTGAGCATGCGCTCTTTGCTCCGACTCTTTAATTTCCTTCACATCTCTGGCATAAATAAACAAAATTTGGTGAAGTCAAAGCCCATCAAATTAACGAATGTATTAGTATTTAGTTGCAGATAGAACCCAACAAGCACCAAATGAGGATATGCTTAAAATTGGATTAAGATCTGCAATATTATTAAACTAAAACAAACAATCCCAGAATTAAGAAATACAGCACTCTGAAATTTGTGAACATATTTAAAATGGGGAGTGCATGTCCTCTATAGCTTTCCAGACTTTAATGTTGACACAGGCTGTAGATGGTGCTCTGACGGTAAGGATTTCACGTTGAAATATTAACACATAACATTCATTCAAGGCCCTTCAATATTTGTTTCTGAAACTAGAAATAGCATGCACAAGACACGGGGAAAGGACAAAGGATAAAAATAGGCTCATCCCATTGAAGTTCAGTTAATCGATAGTTTCCCACCCAACCCTACCAAACAAAAAAAAGGTTAAAGCAGTTTCCAATCTCTGCCAAAACATTAAACTTCCTCTTCAGTCAATCAGTGGATCATCCTATTTGCCACTTGCAGAAGTGTATTTCTAGATTCCTTTCGAGCAAAGGTGGGAATAATAATACAATCTTCAAAGTTGAGAAGTATATTTTCACAAAAAGACAACTCAAGACATCAGGCATAACAAAATGCAACCATTGACATATCCAACCACAAAAAACTAGAAAAAAGATGGCAGCAAGAACCTGAAGGTCTGCACCTAGCTCAATATTGTGTGACCTGTAAACTTCAACTGGAAAGTCAGGCAATCCCAATCTCAACTAGATCATGAACAATGAAAGTTGAATTCACTTGAGCAACTTTTTCCAAAATATACCAGTTTCCAAATAGTGTTCCATCATTTCCATTATATGTGACTTGCAAAGGGTTTGAAACATCTAGACAAATTTGTCAAGATGCATACAACATGAATTAGAAAGAAAGAATGCTTTTTTTTTTGGCTTTCAAGAAACTTTAAGCTGCAGATTAGCCTGTATAACATTCTAAAACAACCATGACCAGGTCGCACAACAATTCAAACCACATTGATACAAATGATAGTGGGAGTGCCATTCTAAAAAAGTGGAGTGCAATTAACATTTGCCAATTCTTTTTTTTTTTTTTTATAAAAACTACAGCTACATCAAGAATACAAGCTATTTGGATAAGGTAAACAATGAGCTCAAGTTACAAACCACAGAAAGTGAAAACCATGAACCCATCTCTGCAAACCACCCCTTATTACTTCCATAAATATCATAGTATAAACAGTTTTTAATGTCCCACAAACTTGAAGGAAAAGCAAATGCGTGCATGACGAGAGCAGAAGAAACATCAAAGATACTGAAGTCTGTTCTCATGCAAGGCTTGCTACAATCTGGCTATGTAAGATGCCATTTAAAGGTTTTACGTAGAGAGATGGTTCCGGCATCTTGCCCAGAGTTTAACTTACATTAGCATCACCTTTTGTGAAACAAAAGCTGATCTTTTGTGAAGACACCTGACTTCAAAGGTCCTACCACTTTAATTTTCAAGGTTTTGCATATAGTAAATCAGTATACAATAGAGGGGCCTACCATCCCAAGACCCTGAGGTCTGTTCTCATGCAAAAGGTGTGACAACTTGCTGAGTAAAGGCTTCATTCAAAGGTTTTACATATGAGAGATGATTCTGGTGTTTTGAACAGAGTTTATCTTGCATTAGCATCATCTTTTGTGAAATACAAGCTGATCTTTTGCTAAGTCACCCAACTTCAAAGGTCCAACCACTTTAACTTTCAAGCTTTTGCATAGAGTAGATCAGTATAAAATAGAGGGGTGTGCATCCCAATTAGTGTAGCAATTGATTGACTCCATGTGCAATTGTATTTTTTCGTTTTTCATTTACTTAGAAAGATTTCTACCACCTAAACCACTGCATACCTACCACCAAAACCCCACTCAACATATTATACTTCTAAAATCATTCCAAGGCTCCAAGCTTTTTATTCACCTGATAACTCTACAATACCCATTACTAAGTTTTAAAAAATCAGTAAAAAAGGGAAAGAGCCTTTCACACGCAATATTGACGATTCAGCCCTCGTGATCTTATATTTTCAGAGAAAAAGAGTGCTCAGAATTCAACTGTAACAAACAAGAAAAATTGGTTCATTCTTCAACACCTCCTCTTGCAATAGAGTACTGTAATCAGCATTCCAAAGTTCAATATACACCAAATCATACTCTGCATTTAAAATATGCGCACTTTCAAGGATGAGCATTGGGAGGTGGCTCATCAAATTTGCTTGTGCCAAGAAATGATTGAAATGCTTATCTAACAAATCCACAAAAGCAACATATAATGGTTCACCTATTGTCATATATTTGCTGACCAAGCATGTCCACAAATATTTGTAGCTCTTCTTTTTCCTTTTGCATCTTCTCAATCTGTGAAGGTTTCATATTCATAGGTCAATATCATTCATCCAAATTTTCAGTATCTGCATTCTTATAAAGAAGCAAGCACACTGCTTAAATGTGGTAGATGTGCAGATCATATAAACATCCACAGACTTACGTATGCCTTCAAAGACTTGATCACTCCCATTTGATGTGCACATCTATCAGCCAAGTCTTTCTCTTCGGTAGTCTACAAATTAAAAGAAGGTAAAACAACCAAAAATTCCAAAATACCCACAACTGAAAAGCAAAGATACCGCATGTCCACACAAAGGAGCAACAACACAACAAATTTAAATAAATGTATGCTGCCTGAGATAACAATGTTATATCTCAAAATCAAATCCAGCATGGATCTTAACCAAGTTGATGGTCTTGAGAAGGAAAGAACAAGTGTCACTACCTAGAAACATGCAAGGTAAGCTACAAACAGAACCAAGCCTCTAACTCAATCTTCCGAATTGAAAAGCTAAAATTCACCTAAACATAAACAATTAGCTGCACCATCACTGAAGGACTTTCTATGTGAAGCAAAACCAGGTGCTCTATTTTTTGAAAGCAAAGCAATTTCACTCCATACAGTGAATTTGAACATAACAGCTTCGAACATTGTCATTGTCAATTTTACATGTTCAGTGAGATGGACATAGCCTAAAGGAGATTCGTGGTTATATTTGACTTCCCATTGCCTCTTAAAATGTTAAGCAATAGGCATTCCCACAACATTATGTGGGTTGCTCTAGGAAATAGAAATTATAGAAATATCACGTGTTTTGAACTTCTTCATAAACTTTTTCATATAAAATTAACTGCAAATAGCCTAACCAAGTAATGTTTGGTTCTAAAACGGAAAAAAAAAATTAAAAGAGAAAACATCAAACTTTAAGCTTCTGCTGAAGGCAAGAACAAATTACCCTTTGGCAACAGTAAAATGGAACATCTAGTTTGAAAAAACCATCACATATGCAAAATCAAACCTTACTGTCCACCAAAGCTTTCAGCGACTGGACTTCTTCGTGCAAGGAAAGGGACTCTTCGGCTGTCTCCTTCCACCGATTCAATTGAGCTTCCATCATTCCCATTTCCTTTGATAAAGCAGAAGCCATAATCTGAAACTCTTCTTTAACATCTTTTCTACCTGGAAAAGCCAGGACTATTGAGAATGTGATATAAAACCACCAGAAAACTGAAAGTAGTACAAGTCGCAGTTGATTCAACCTGTATCCTGCAAAGCTTCTTCCATCTTAACCTCCAGCTCATTTTTCTCAACAATCGACTTATGAAGTTGATTCTCTAACTCCTCAATCTTGGCTTCTAAGTTCTCAACCCCCTTTCTTGCAGCCTCCGCAGATTCTGCTTTTACAGAAAGTTCCTTCTCCCTTCGGATTATCAAAGATCTCTCAGCCTGCTAATCAATTGCAGAGTTAATACAAAAAGTTTGATGCCAAAAATGGATAGCACTTCTCGAAACAATTCTGTTATTCATTTCATTGACCTGCACTGATTCTGCAAGCACTTTGTACCGATCGGCTTCAGAATTCAAGTGCTGGAGCTGATCATTCAGTAAGGTGTAAGGACGAGAAGAATACACATATTTATCATCCTTCAGTTCATTCTGCACAAAGAAAAATCAAGTAACAAATTTCATCAACAAAAAAGACAGTTTGGCTGCTTAAAAATCGAATTAGATTTGCAAACAAGAAGTCTTGAAAATGCTTGGTAGCATATGACTGGTTACTTTCAACTTAGGGAATACAAATTTAGAACCTGAAGGTCCTGCAACTGCTTTAACAAGCTGAGATTGTCTTCCTGCATCTCTTGAACCTCGGCAAGACGATCCTCTGCAAGTACCTACATCATATTATGCTTTGCTTAGAAGGACACCTACACCATGTAATATCTAATAAGTAACCCATGCAAAAATACAAGTACAACATGAGACACAGAGACAGAGATGGAACAATAGGCAAAAACTCACTCAGACGCACAATCACAGAGAAAGAGAGTAACACCTTTGTCTCCTCAATCGAATCCTTCAGTCCTCGTAAACGTTTGGCCCTGTCTGCAGGTTTTTCAGGAGACGCAGTTCCATTTGCAACAACTGATATGGGGGATTGTACTGCAGAAGGCCCCTCTTTCTGCATTCTCAGATTCACAAGCTTTCTTCTACTCTCCTCAAGTTCTGCCGTGCTTTCTTCCAGCTCACCTGAAAGATGATGACCACATCATACACAATTGACCTATAACTACAAAAATGCAGTACACTACCTGTCTTAAATAAGGTTCACAAGCTTGCCATTTTCTTTATGACAAAAAGAAATAACCAAAATTACATTATGTGGAAGAAAAGCACAAAAAGGAGAGATCCTTTGACCCAAAAAAAAATATCTATCAGCTGAAACTAGAACCTTTGTCTGTAATTTCAAACACACAAGCAGGTAATGGTGTACTAAAATTTAACATACCATTAAGTCTCTTTATCTCTGATTGATCAACTGAGTTGTTCTCAATACAGGTCTGGATCTCATCAGCATATTCTTTATGCTTCAAATGAAGGATATCCATCACCTTGTGCAGATTATCAACTTCCTCTTTCATTAAAGCATCAATCTTTCCCAGTATGAGCACAAAATCTGATAGCCGAAAATGGTGATATGAATAAATGACTAAAAAAATAGGAATAGGAGATGACAAAATAAAGCGTACAAAGAAATTATTCTAACTAAACGGACCATTTATTAAGGTCTACTGACCTTCTGCAGATGATTTTCCATGAAAAGCCTGCGATATGTTCTCTATTTTAGCTCTCTGAGCTTCAATAGCATCTTCCAACAATTTCATCAATGCCCTTGTAGAAGCCTGACGCCGAGCTAGGCCTTCTTTGATATATCCATTAGCTCCATCACTTCCTGTGCTTTCAATTGCATTTGTTTGCAGTAGCCTGCAAAGAAAAATATCTTCTGCACGACATGATGGCATTGGACCTAATAGTGGAAGCACAGTTCAAAGTTGCATTACAAAAGAGCTTTATCCCTGCTCAATGAGTTTAAAAAAGCTGCAAAGAATACATTTTCTTTTTCTTTTCTCTATATTGTAAAGGCAACCTTGTAATTGATCAACTTGATCAGAACTGTGCAGAGCTGTTTTACCAGCCCCAGCTCGTACTCCCAGAAGGATTAGTTCACCATCTAACTACATGAAATACATCCAGAAAACCATTATTAATGCATATCGTGCAGAAAAGAGCTACAAATCATATATGAGTGCATGTGAAAAAAAGTACCTGATTCCAGAGTCTATTAATTGTAATCAACACTGAATCATAAGAAGCTTGTTTATCTCTCAGCTCTTTCATTTTGACTTCCAGATCAAGCAACTCCTGCTTCTGCATGTCTAATTGCTGAACAAGTCTCTGATTCTGATACTGGAGAAGTGCAGCATCAATCTTAACAAACAACAGAACCTTGTAAGTTTTTAATATCCTCTTTCTCTCCCCAACAACAAAACTTGTTCAGGCATTTAGACATTGAGAACCAAAGATTAAAACTTTTCTGTTTTTCTCTTTACAGAAACAATGTCTAAAGAGTTTTTGGTGGAAATACCGAGTCTCAAGATCATGGAAAAGCAAGTAAATGCTGTCTACAAGAAAACCATGACATTACTGCATGATTAATTTTTATTCATATCTAAAAGGTATTTGGACTAGAACACCCTTTTCACTTCTTGTACAGGCTACAGAAAGTCGAGGTCACTAATCCTTTAGTTTATGTGGTATGGTAATAAACGTTACTTATGGTTTTTACTGAAGCCCACCCCAAATCTTCTCTTAAAAAAGAGTACAAATTTTTACCAACAACTTCAAGGCCATTTCCACAACTAACTCAATATATATATATACAGAAAGACTCAAACTTTGACTAGTTTTCAGCTCCTAGCTGGTAGAACATATGAATAAAACACTGTAAACCCCAAATCCTATTACAAGACCACCGGCTTTGGAATCAAATTTCAAAACAGCTGTACTGAAACCACAATATTGTCTATCATACAATTCTCCTGAAATTCCATCTGCGAAGTATCCAATGCCTTCAAGTCAATAACTCATAATGTTAGCAACATTTTCCAGTCTCTAGAATCCAACTGGTTATCACATTCCAACACCAATTACACCATTTCTTGTCTTACACCAATCAATAAACCAAAGAATTTTCCAAAGTCTTCATTTTTGTCCCAAAAAGAAAAACAAAAAACAAAAAAACTGTTTATCAACTTTCTTCACAATTGCCGAGTGCAAATCAAAACATCCAAGCAGATATGACCAATTTAATTCTTCGCGTGCCATGAAAAAAAAAACCCTACTTTCGAAGTACAACTGGACTACAGATATATTAATCAATTACTGCACGAAAAAGAAAAATTATTTGCATGTAGACTACTCAACTGAATATGCACTTTTCAAATAACCAAATTAAATGCATATAATAAATAAGAAAATTTGCTCTATTTCTTACTCTTTTCCATACAGAAATTTATACAGTGCGAATGAAGATTATTACCCGTTTCGAGTTATCAGAGTCAGAGCGTGGCCGCTTCTTCTGCGGTTCTTCGGCCTCCTTATCCTCCATTTTTCACGATTTTCCTGAGAATTGAAAGCTTTTCACATCAGAAAGCTTTTCAATCTGCTGTGAGAATTGAAATTACTGGAGAGAGGAAAGTGTCCGTGTCTTGACTGTGGACATCTGGGGAAGAAGGGGGAGAAAAAACTGAAAAAGATTGCAAACAAGTAAGTTTTAGGGATAATTTCACAAACCTCCCCTAAGGTTTTCTTAATGTTACTTAGTACCTCATAATTTCAAAAATCTCTCTTACGTCTCCTATTAGATTGACAAGACATCTCTATTATAGATAGTAAATTAATGATATTACCCTACAGAAAACTGCTAATTGATTATATAAAATTAGCATAAAAAATGAATTTGGAAAGTAAAAAAGATTAGGACAACAATTAACAAAACTGTCATTTATAATAGCGACTTTTTCTTGCTGTAGCAATACAAAATAAGGAACTTTTCACACTACTATTACCTAACACATCAAAAGCACAACAAATGGACATTAAAAGCAAATATTGTTTATTTGGATTTCTTTCGCTCTCTGAATTTTGATTGTTGCCTTTGTATTGTAACTATAATATCGATTCCTTATACAAATAATGTTGGTGAATTATAACAGTACTTTCTAATGTTAAAACTTGTTATGATTTGGTACAATAAATTCTATTAAATTCATCTTTAAATTGATCCTTTTGCTGCTAAACTTGAGTTGACATATTAAATTCTATTAAATTCATCTTTAAGTTGATCCTTTTGCTACCATTATTGCCCTAGAGTTGAAATATTAGTTATTACGCAGTTGTAAAACTACTTATCTGCCACAATTTCTCTTTATTGCACTTGTATCTCTCCCAATTTGTCTTTTACCTATTAGATTTATTTTAGTTTTAATTGCTGCTCTAATATTTATATAAAGGACAAGAAAAGGGTACAAATAGAAGTAAATTGTTATCTTTCCTTTTTATGAATTTTTAATGCGTAGGGATTGACAATTTTATAAAACATGTAAATCAATTGGTGGAAAGAGAAATTTTTGAAACTACTAAAGTGTAACGTGATATTAAGGCAAACCTTAGGGAAGGTTTGTGAAATTATCCCTAAGTTTTAATAGTTAATACATGGTTAGAGAATGCTGAATTTACACTTTTGACCAAAATATTTTGTGCCCTTTATCAATTGAGTCCTTCCCCTACCCTTTTTTTATTGGGCAAAATTCCCTGTGGTTTTTCACTTACTCGCATAACTCAGGTATGATTTAAAAATACATAACCCCTAGTGGTTTAACTTAAAATGTCAAATAGACGGAAATTATCCTTTGTCACGATTCGTGGCTAAAACGTGCCATACATATGATTGTGTTGCTTGCAGCAATAAAAAACATTCCCACGTTACCTCTAGCCAATTTAATGCATCCAATGGAGTCTCAAATCTCCACTCCAATTCTCTTTCCATGAAATGAAATTACTTCGCCTCACTTTATATTCAATTTTGGTGGAGGCACTCCACTCACTCAAGAAAATGTATTTATGACGTAAGTAAAATAATATCTAGAAAAGAAACTTGTATCCGAACACGCTCTAACAATTTACCTATGACTATTATAAAAGCGAATATATTGTTTGCAAAATTAACAAAATTTGAATATTTGATAATTGAATATCATAGGATGAACCCATTATCAACTATGAATGCTTTATTCTTGAAGTTTCATATTCTATATATAGGTGGTAAAGATATGCCAAATCAAAACTTAGCAGTACTTGTAATGATATTATCCCGTGATTATTCCATACCTCTAATTAAAACAAAACAAGCTATAATAGTTTTTTTCAATTTTTCTCTTTTGTTTTTTCCCAATGAATTGAATGACATATCGGTTTCTACAGAGGTCATCATGTCTTCATAAATGTTTAATTTAACAAGACATGGTGAAAGCAATTTTTTTTTCTCATTGTGAATTGTACTAGAATTAGGTAAAAGAGCTAGCTCGTGGAGTAATTTGTTCCAATTAAAAGGGAAATTCCATATGAAGCAACATATAATTTAAGTAACAGAAACAGACTAGACTAAATGATAAGCCACTACCTTGAGTTTAGGAATTTTCATGCTTATGTCTATCATTTAGTTTAGAATATTGTGATTTTTCACAGAAAAATTTTTACGTTTTCCGCAAACGCATATCCCAATCACTTTTTTACCTCACGACATCAAATACATTTTTCTACAAAAATTTCTAAAAATAGCAATCCAAATGGTCGTTCTATTTTTGTATTTTTAGGCAGTGTGTATTGATCCCTTCGTTGCCCCTTTTTTACTATAAAAATTTGATTGAAGATTACCGTAAGAAGAGATTAAAAAGAAGTTGAAACTATAAAGGTATTAAACCATTAATAAGAAGTTAATATTAGACAACATAAACCAATGAAAACAGCCAAACTACTGCGTACACCTGGTTAGAAACTTCGATACGTGCAATAATTATACCATTGAATATCAAGAATAATCTTTCTGGCATATTCGATAAGCATCTTCATGACAAAATAAACAAGATAGTCACAAAGTCGACCATATATTGTTAGCTGTTACAAGCTGGAGTATGAATTTTCTAAATATTCAAGTCAAAATTTATCCAGCGAGTAAGTTTGACCAAATTCGGGCCAATTCAGTTTTCACTGGCAGCTTAGGAATTATGAGGACCTAAATAGTTCTGACTAGAAATGGAATGAATTGAAAGAAAATAAGTTGCAATCGCTAGCATCCAAGGACTGGTAGGTGCAATAGAATTATGACCAATTGACAATTCAGATTGTGCTCTAGCCTGAAACTCTTTGTCAAAAATCAAATTGATTTCAAAGTGCAAACTTTGTTCTTTAATGCGACTTCTAGAACATACACAAAGTACAAGGGTGGGGAGACTTTGGCAAGTTAATGAATTTGTCACATCTTAAGTTGGCCACTTCTCACCTTCAGCATAGTCAGAACATAGGCTTCAATCAGAATGCAGAATACTTTATGTCAATTATATGAAGACTCGTATTGATACAATTTGAGGAACCATTGGTTCTTCAATCTATCAATCTGTATCAATAAGGCTTCCTAGGAAGTTGATTAGGTTAAATAATTAGGTAGTCATAGTATTTTTAGTAGTATTTTTATTAGTTTACTTATTAATTTTATAATAGAGGTTGTAATTTTATGGCGAAAAAGAAAAGGTTGCGAATGAATCTGGGTCAAATCAAGTCAGACACCCAACATAGAACCCGTCATAAGGTCTGTCATAGAACCCACTAAGATTGATTGTGATCAATTAGTCAGACATAGAGCCAAACATTGCCGAAAGTCATCTCAGCCAGATAACATAGTTTTGTTCGTTTAGGGTTTTATGTATGTTTTGTTTTTTGTTTGTTTAGGGTTTTATGTATGTTTTGTTTTCTTTTTAAAACTCATTGTAATCTATAAATAGGCATGGTTAAGATTTTTGTAATCGATTCCTCTTTTATCAAACATCAATGAAACTTTGATTGGTTATCCCAATTGTTGAGAGTTTTATCTTGTTATCATCGAATCTTTGATTCGTGTTCAGGGGTTTAAACATAATTCACCCTTTCCTCTTTTATCAAACATCAATGAAACTTTAATTGGTTATCTCAATTGTTGAGAATTTTCTCTTGTTATCATCGAATCTTTGATTCGTGTTCAGGGGTTGAAACATAATTCACCCTTTGTTCTTCTATGGATTTCGTTCGTGAAACAAATCTAATATTCACGCATCCGCTGCCTCATCACGTATGGGCTAAAAACCAGATTTGGTAGTATAAGTTTGTCATTCTCGTAAACTGAATTTATATTGCTAAACTATATATTAAAGAGATTTTAAAGAATCATAACGAATAGCAACAGTAGCACCTTATCAGGTTTGTCACATTTAGAACACAATATCAACTATTAGTGTGTACAATAATCAAATAATCAGGTTGCTTCTCTGTTTGCACATAAAAGTACAAGCCAGAACGCCAAAAATTAATGATCGTGAAAAAGAAGAAAGAAAAGATTGCTAAACCTGATTAGTTTAGCTGCAATCCGAACACTGAAAAGAAGTTCCAGAGAATAATATCTGGTCTTGAAAAAGTTAACTCATCAGATTAATCCAAATTATGGCAAACGACTCTCATACGGGAAGCCCTAATTGATATTTCGACGCTTGCCTCACCTTATCTATAAAATTGTTGGGTAGAATGTGTAATAAACTGAAGTTAAATATCTACAAGGGACGCCCTGAGTACGATAATCAAATAGGGGTGTTGTGCAAATATATCATTTCCATATAATTAATACTTTAAAAAAAACTTCAAAATTTCACCCACCACCTGCTAGATTATGTGTTCAATAACAACTCGTGTTAATATGGGCAGTGTCATCTTAAGAAGAAATAATAAGAAGATGAGTAATGTAAACCTGAAATTGCCCTAAAAAACTGTTAAACTCCTTGATTGTTAATCACATTGGCTTACAGGTAGTTTTTGGACCTATTCGCCCAACAATATGTTCCAAGTTGAGCGTGTGTCTGTACAGAAATACTGTATTATTTTTATGATGTGATATATACAAGACGAAAATATAATTGAAAAACGTGTTCATAATGTAAAGTTAAATAATGTTTACGAATAATGTCCACTCCAAACACTTGATCTCATTGTTGGAAATGACAATTGTTTAGCATGCTTTATTAACTGAAAAATCAATAATTACTAGCTGCAAACATAATAACATGGGCAGCCCATTAGCCTCCATTAAAATATATAATTGTTAACCATAGGCTTGACACTAACTCATCAGTTAGTCAAGGGCCATTAATATCATAATAATTGGCATCAGCATTACTGGCTATGAATAGAAAAAAAAAAGATTGGTCATTGTCAAGTTTCAAATCAATTAGATTTTTATTCATATTGGAGTTGAAGGCAAGGCGGCTTTGGAGCTACCATTCAAGCACATTGCTTTCTGGACTTCAGAAAAGTGCTGCTTCTGATGTGAATTTGGTGAAAAGCTAGCGTAAGCACATAATATATGTCCTATGCTTTCTGAAATTAGTTTTCTAATTTCAAACGTCTTTTTGTTTTGATAT